ACACTGTGCCACTAGCTACTAGCTTTTAGGGCTGGAAAATATATAGTTTTCTGGTTGTTTCACATGTGGTAGCCTCAACTTTCAAATTAGATAGCAAGCCCCTAACAGATCTTGGGAATGTCAATAAGTAGAGACGAGAAAGAGAGTTTCCTTAAAAGGGATTTCAAGTAACCCAATTTGGCTGCAGCACAGGGTAAGGTATTGAGAAACAATGCAAAAATAAATAAATTTTTGAGCTGGAAAAAAAAATGAGAAAATTATAAACAATAAGATTGAAAAAGATAGAATATTAGGGCCCAAAAGGACTTCAGAAGTAATATAATCCAACTTCTAACTGCAGCATGAATCCTTTCCACTACCCCAGGGACAGAAAAACTCATTACCTCCCCACCTCCGGGCAGCCCATCTTCACTTCTTGGCAGTTACTGTTAGGAATTTTTGTTGCCTTCAAGATCCAAGCAAAGAAAGTCCACATGACAAATATTTAAAGACAGTGAGCCTATCTCCTCTGGGCTTTTCCAGATTAAACATTTCTGATCCCTCAACTGATCCTTATATGGAATGGTATGGTATACCCTTACCATTCTGGTCACCCTTCTCTGGATAAATTTCAGTTTATCGATGTCCCTTCTGAAACATGGCACCCAGAAAAGGTAGACTGGAATCCGAACATGGCCTGCTTTGAATGCCAACACAAGGGGTTCAGACATTAGCCTGTAGATGATGGGGAGCTACTGAAAAATTCTGCAGAAGACAGTAACATAATCAGAACTGTGCTTTAAGAAGACTGCTCTGCAATGACCCAAGAACAGACTGGATGAGGGAGAGATGGGAGAATCATTTAGGTCAGGGGTGGGGAACCTGTGGCCTCAAGGCCATATGTGCCCTCTGGGTCATCAAGTGCAGCCCTTTGACTGAGTCCAAGTTTCACAGGACAAATCCTTTTATTAAGGGGATATGTTCTGCGAAGTTTGGATTCAGTCAAAGGGCCAAACTTGAAGACGTAGAGGGCCACACATGGCCTCGAGGTCACAGGCTTCCCATCCCTGATTTAGGTGATATTGTAAGAGTTTCTTATTTGAGGGAGGAGGGTGGTCCAGCTCAGCCACTTTAATAATTGTGAAGAAAGATTCATAACTGGCTAAGGATTCCCTTATCACAGTGTGCTAAGTCAGCTAAGACTCAATTACTTCTACACATTTAAGGAGAAGGACAAGGGCAAAAGAATTTTCCTAGATTGCCCCTTCTTACTGTATATTGATAAATCAGACTGTGCGGTATTTCTTCCTCAATTATCTTTGAAATGTAAATTTCTACTTTTTTCTTTTGGTGGCTATAAATCCTTTTCTCCTTCTGGCAGCTACAAATCCAAAACCGTACCCTTTTTTTTCCTCTTTTCTTCCTCTGATATAACTGGAGACTATATAAACTTGAGGAAATCTCTGTACATTGCTTGGCTAATTAAGAATTCTGAGCCTATGCTGAAGCATATAATAAACCTGGGTTTTCCCTCTTAAATTTCTGTGTATTGATAGTTTCTATTGACAGCAATACCTATTAACAAATCCATGAATGTTTCCATATCAGTGACAATTCCAGGAGTTCAGGATGGAGGTGATGTAGACCTGATCTAGAGATAGTGACAGTGGACAGAACATAAGGCAGAACACCACTAGGACATAACTGAAACAAATGAACAACATAAAAGGAGAAAAAAAGCATAAAAAGAAAATGTCATTCTGGATAGGGTCTCTGAAGAAATAGGGGACCTTCCTACCTCTGCATTTCAAAATACAAATCCCTTCCTACATTCTGGCTCATAAGACTCAGAGATAGAAGAGATTACAGGAATCATTTCATCCAGCCTCCTCATTTAACAAATAAGAAAACTGAGGCCCAGAGAGTATTTTTGAAAGCTATTTGCCCAACTTCACACAGGTACTAAGAAACAAACCTAAGTCACCTGACTGCACCTCTCACTCTATCACACCTTTGGTGCAGCCATCACTTGTAACCTATAGATTGTAATAACAATCGACTTTAAAGGTAACTGAGAGGCAACTTAACATAGCAGATAGAGAAGCTGCCTCTTTGGCAGCTTCCTTTGACCCATACCAGTTGTGTGACCCTGGATTAACTGCTTAACTTCTCAATGCCCCAAGCAACTCTCTAAGGCTATAAAAGGCAAAATAAGTACAGATCTCCAGGGCGAGAGGAGTTTCCCCTCTGGGAGCTCCTTAGAGCAATAAAAGCGCAGGTATGGGCCCCACCTCTCTCCAAAATAAAAGATTACAAAATTCTTTCTTTTGAACAAACCATTCATTCTCATTTAAAAAATATTTGAAAGATCGAATTGAAGATAAGGAAACTGAGGTTTTCTTTTGCCCATGGCCATATAATTCATGTATAAACCTTTATTGAAACCTAGATCTCCTCATTTTAAATCCAGTAATCTTTCCATGACGTCAACTGCTTCTATATTTTCTTGGCCAGTCACATTCCTCTCCTGAGCTCTGCTGTCAACCTCTTTTCTCTCCTCTTCCCCCCATCCCCCATCAGTCCTGGCCACTTTTCCCCACTCCAGCATGACAGGCCTCCACTGAAGCTCACACCAGTCATTTCACTTCTCCTGCATCATTCAGGGGATAACAATGAGGTATCCTGTGAGTGGAGCAAAACATGAACTAAGCCCAGCAGGCTGCCCAGCCCCATCCTCCCATGCCTTTGTCTGACTCAACTCAGTTTGGTTTTCAGATGGCCCTTCTGCTCAGGGACATGTGAGATATAGAAACATGTCCAGGGCTGAGCCAAGCTTAATCAATTTTCTGAAGTAATTTCCCACAAAATCATTCTCTTTGGGGCCTCCTAAAGGTCTCATAGCTGTTCTGTGCTATTAAAGAATTGCCATTTAAAGGCCTTTCATATACAGACACTTAAATATACAAACTGGGAGGCAGGAGGTTTTAGGTATTAGTAGCGCTTCTGGCAGCCTCTTTGAAAGTGTTTTCTCCTCCAATGTAGTAAAGGAGAAAAAATATTCCTTATCTTCCCCTCCCTGCCTCAGCAAACCTTCAGGTTTTTTGTGTACATGGATGTAAAGCTTAAGGGCAAGAATTTTAAAAGGCCTATATGGGCAAAACTCCACATGTTTTGGGTTTTGTTTTGTTTTTTCCTGGAGGTCCATGCATCACACACCAATCTTTCTGGTCTCCACAGAACAAGATTTATACTAGTCTTTATTGTCCACTATTAAATGGCGACACTTTGACTACATCTGATTAGCCTAGAAAATGCACATCAGATGAATTTCATCACAGAGATGGCTCTTTTCCTGATTAGTTCCCAATATTTATACTGGCTAATGCCAAAGAATTCTATGGAGCAAAATCACATGTACCCCCCCCAAAAAAAAATCACACACAAAAAAGGGATATCAGTGAACAAGGAAGGGGATGAAGAGGGAAAGAGGAAAAGGATGAAAGATGTGTTCTTAGAGAAACCAAAAGCCTGTCAAAATAATAGATAAGCACCATGCCAGCCAAGGTAGCCCACTCACTGCTCCCATAAAATGCTTTTTTTTTAAGCTTCATAATAAAAATGTATGTGGACAGGCAAGAGAGTGGGGGAACCCCCCCCAAAACAAAAGAAAATTCCACCTGAACTGTGTCTCTCCTTTTGGCTTGGTGGGGCCTAGTTCTTTCCCAATATCCACATGGCAGCAGGGCTGCCTCTAAATGGATGATAATCCCCTCACAGTGGAAAACAAAGGCCCAATTCTCTATTGGTTTCTCAGGTCTATGACACAAGAAAACAAATATAGAAACCTTTCCCTGCTATGAGTGTCATCGGGGTTAAAAGGAGAACTTTTCCAATGTTCAAGGTCATGTAAAATATAAAATAAACAAGCTTCTATAAACAATCATAACACACTGGGGCTGCAAGGGGACTTTAGAGGTCCCTCAGTCCAACCATCTCATCTTGCAGAGAGCACAGCAGGCCCTGAGGGACAGATGAATGAGCCAAGGTCACACAGCTGTTTGATGACAGCTGGAAAAGGAATCCAGGTCTTCAGACCTCTAATATAGTGTTCTTTCCACCATACGATGCTGAGTAAGTATTGCATTTCTGTCTGACCTTTTCTTTCTAAAGCTAATTTTTAATAAATAGAGGTTTTAGTAAAAGTGCTCTGGATACAGAGTCAAAGGATCTGAGTTCAAATCCTCTCAGCTTGATACTCACTTACTTGATCATATAACTTAATATCCTGACTTCAGTTTACTGATTCATAGAATGAGGGGTTTGGAGCAGATCACCTCAAAGGTTCCCTCCACTTTTTTATCTATGATCCTATTAATTTACCTTGAGAACCAAAGGCTATTTTGTAAATTTGTTAATTTCTCCCTAATTATAGATATTAATGAGGCTTTTTGGACCTTGAGTCATGATGCATATACATCTACATACAAACAAAGAGTATACATGAATGTTGGTCAACATGAATTTACTGCAGGAGGAATTGTAGTTAACACTTGCCTAAGGTCACAGAGAAAGCAAGTGAAACTTAAAAGGTCTTAGAGTCTCTTCTATCCTCTCCCTATTGTCTCCCATTCACACTTCAGTCTCTCTGCTTATAAAATGGACAAGACAGGTAGTATGTAGCTTGGAGATCCCTAAGCTTCCTGCTGAGCATGCAATAAGCTACCATGTCTAAAAAACCTCCTCCCTCCTGTCTCCCCTCTCAGACAATGCAAGAGACTAGGGAAAAACAAAGCTAAGTACACTGAGTTAATAGGCATTCATCGTTGGGGTAAGAAAAGGCCTTTTTCCAATATCATACTCCTGACAGTTTCCACCTGCATAAGTCTGGGGGAATCTTGTGTTTGATAAAACTCAAAACTCTTTTTCAGTTTTTCCCATACTAAATAACTTCTGTTGATACACCTAATTGGCTTTTGAGGAAAAACAAGAAGCAGTTCATGCTTCCAAATAAGAATAATTACCACTCTCTGTGCTTCCCAGGGAGCCGAGGGGACACAGTCGTCTAGCGCCTGAAACAGGATCTCTCCCAGCAAAACTCCTAAGCTAGTACAGGATGAAGCGTCCAATCCAGGAAGAACTCAATGGAAATCCCACAAAGGATCTGGAAGAAAGCAGGTGAAGAAAGGCTGAGGAAGGTGGGAAGAGAAGACACTTTGCAAGCTGAGCTCTGACACAAATGAAAAGAACTCCACCAACGTCCTTGTTTTCTCTCTGTGTATGAGCTGCTCAGCGCTCAACCCTAAAGTGCTGATGCCTTCATTGTGATGCAGCTACACCTTGAAGAGCAGCAAATGCCAGAAATCAGGGCTTGGTTATTTTGTTGTTGATTGTCTAGCCTTAAGAAAGTGATGGGGGAAATATTAACCATGCAAATTAAACTTAAAAGTGATCCTGAGGTGGCAGCTAGGTGGCACAGTGAATAGAGCACTGGCCCTGGAATCGGGAGGCCCCGAGCTCAAATCAGGCCTCAGACACATGATACTTACTAATTGTGTGACCCTAGGCAAGTCACTTAACCCTGATTGCCTACAAAAAAAAAGTGATTCTGAGTACATTTTTTGGTGGAGAGAGAGCTGGTTGTTAAACATTTACCAGCACACCACTACCCAGTGCCCTCTGGTACTGAGGGGGAAAAAAAATCCCTTTTATAAACCCTCTGGACATTCCTTCCCCACCTCTCACTCTCACCTCTACACCTACGTCCTCCTCCCTCCACTTCCAGGGACCACAGTAGTGAAAGGCAGAAATGTGCCACGGGAACAAATGAGAAAAAAAATATTTTCATTGAACTGCACATTAAAAAGGAAAAAAAAAACTCAAATCATCAAAACATTCTACTTTTAAATAAAATGGAATTCTTTGAAAATTTAAACCAAGTACCATAAAATATAATGATTTCATTCATTCATTTAATCCTCTACTAAAGTCTTACTCAGATATGTAAAGCTGAACCTGGATCCCCAAAAACTATTTAATGGAGCACAAGCAGTGGGAGGGTCCTACCAATTTGGAGAGGCTTCAAGTACAGACCCAGAGTTGACTTGAGTATGGACATCCTGTTTAAGTATCAGAATTACTCATCACCAGAGAGTTGTTTATCAGTTTTTGGTCACATAAACTCATGAACACCACTGACTATCTATATCCTTGAAGTTTTAAAGAAAGTATTTTAAAAAGGGGGGTGTGCATGTATATGTGTGTGTGTGTGTGTGTGTGTGTGTGTGTGTGTGTGTGTGTGTGTGTGTGTGTGTGTTTGGAGAGAAAGAGAGGAGAGAGAAGAGAAGAGAGAGGAGGGGAGAGAAGAGGAGAAGAAAGGGAGAGAGGAGAGGAAGAGAGAGAAAGAGAGAGGAAGAGAGGGGAGAAAGAGACAGGGAGGGAGAGAGGGGGGAGGGAGAGAGGGAGAATGGTAAACACGTATTAAGGCACAGGGCTGGCAGGATTCAGACAAGGTTTAGTAGAGAAATCAGATGAGTGGGAGTAGTCCAGTATGGCTGGAAAATAGAATATATGCAGAGTAATAGTAAAAGACAAGGCTGGAAAGATAACTTGAGGACACATCTAGAAAGACCTACAAAATCACAACCTAAGACCTACAAAAACAAAAAATCCAAGGAGTCTCCAGTTTATCTGGTGGGAACTAAAGTCCTAAAAAGTCTGAACCAAAGGAGTGACATTTTCAGAGCTGAGTCTTTCCCAAATGGCAGAACTATCACCAACAGGCAAAAGTCAAAGGGAGGCAAATTTTAGGTCAACATCAATAACAAAAGAACTCTAAAACAAATAGAGCTGTTTAAAAACAGAAGGTCTGTCTTCAGCAGTAATAAATTTCCCATCAGTGAAGGTTTTCAGAGCCAGTGCTGACAGTGGGTAGGATGCTAGACTTGGAGTCAAACACCGCCACTGACCATGTTACTCGCATGACCTTGGACACACTGAATAACCTACATACCTCAGACATCTCCCTAGGCTTATCTACTAAATAACAGGCTGGCTATGATCATCATTGCTCCAAGAGTTCCCCCATGACGATGCTCACAAAATTACAGGGTTTTTTTTTCCTTACTGTTTTCAAGTAGAGGCTTACTACCATTTGCCATTAATTATAAATTAGGTTTATACTACAGACTGAATGAGGGTCACTGAGGATTCTATGATTCTAAGGAGTTCCTTGAGGTATCATGTGAGAGGGACCGGAACTAAAGGAATTTAGGTCATCTAGTCCAACCATACTATTCTACATATGTGGAAACTGAGGCCAAGAGAGGGAAAAAGACTTTTTTAAGCTTATTCAGGTAGAAAGTAGCAGAGCTAGGATATAAAACAAGGACTTCTGAGTCCAGATCCAACACTTTCCTTACTAACACCATACTATTTCTCATTGGCTGGGCAGCTAGGTGATGTCATAGCACATGGAATGCTGAGCCTGGAGGCTTCCTGACTTCTTCCTGAGTTCAAATCTGGCCTCAGACACTCGCTAGCTGTGTGACCACGGGCAAGTCACTTAACCCTGTTTGCCCCAGTTTCCTCATCTATAAAACAAGCTAGAGAAGGAAACGGCACACCAATCCAGTATCTTTGCCAAGAAAATCCCAAATGGGATCACAAAAAGTTGAACACAATTGAAACTGAACAAAAAAAAATTCTTATTTATTTGAAGAGTGAGAGACAGGATAGAGAGAGAAACATTGATGACAATTATAATAGTCTAAGCAAGAGGTACTTGGTGTCTAAAATAGGGTGGTGGCTATGGAAACAAAAAAAGAATGGATGGACGAAAAATATTATGAAGGAAGAACAGAAAAGACTTGATGAGATATGCAAGGGAGCAAAAGAGAGAGGGAACAAAGATCACTAGGGGTTTTGAACCAGGATCACTAAGAATATAGCAATATCATTAACAGAAAAAAGAAAACTGGAAGGAGGAGCAGGTTTTCAGAGGAAGATAATGAATCCAGTTACAGACAAAATAAGTTTTATGGTTTTGATTAAGATATACAGGTAAAGATATCACTCCCATGCTCAAGAAACCCTAGGGCTCCCTATTCCTGCTAGGATAAAAATATATACCCTTTTGTTCAGCACTTAATCCCTTCAGGATCTGGGTTCATCCTACATTTCCAAGTTTATGAAACATTATTTCCATTAATGTCAGCCAAAGTGGCCTGCCTCTTTGCTCTTCTCCCACTTCCATCTGTATGTCTTTACCCAGGGCATCTGTCCCCACACCTGGGATGCACTCTCTCTTCACCTCCACCTTTTAGAATCCCTCACTTGCTGTGAAGCTCAGCCCAAGTGCCACCCCTACAAGACAACTCTCCTGAACCACCCCCACCCACCCAATTATTAGTGCCCTTCCTCCAAATGACTTTGATGTCCCTTTGTACATATTTTGTATTTATTCATGTCTTATCTAATAAGTAAGCTCTGGGAGGAGAGCGACTGTATTCGGATTTTTTTTTTGTCTAACACAGTAAGTTAGCATTAATAAATGCTAACTGATTGAACTGATCAAATGATCCGACTGAGATGCCCATAAGGCAATTAAAGATGGAGGACTAGAGCTCCAGGGAAAGGTCAGGCCTGAAGAAGCAGATTAGGCAATCAGCAACAGATATTTATTAAGTTCCTACTATGTGCTGGGCACTGTGATAAACACTGGAGACACAAAGACAAAAGTTAAACAGTTTTCCCCCAGCAGGAGTGAGAGTTCAATCAGGAGAAACACCCCCACCATGTTCCCAACTATAAGCATATTCTGACTGGAGGGAGGCCACCAACAACTGGAGGTGGGGAAGCCATGTGAGAGAATGAGATCACTAAGGAAAAGAGTTTACCCAGGATGAGAAAAAGATCTCAGGGAAAAAATCTAAGGGTCAGGAAAAGGAGCCAAGGAAAGAAAGAGAAGCCTGATCATGAAGGTAAAAGGAGAATTAGATCAGTGCAGTATCACAGAAACCAAGGGAAGAGAAAGTTTCGAGGAGCAAGTGCAAACACCATTTTAAAAACATTAATATCATTCCTTTAAAAGGCAGACAAATGTTGTTTAAAATACTAGCTGCCGGAGGAGTTGCTGTGTACTTTTTGTCAAGCTCTGGGTAACCCCTTTTCTCCTATTTTTTTTCCCTGCAGGAATCTGCAGAACCCAGGAACTTCATGTGGATACAGAAAACCACAGAACAGAAGTTACATGGGAGAAAACTCCTGGCATAAATGAAAACACATTTAGTTTAAAAACTACCGAATAACAAAAACCATAGGTTGGGCAGGTATATGCAAACCATGTACAAATGGGAAAGCACTTGTTCAGATATGATATGGGCCTTCCTATATTCCCCCTTCTGAAGATCCTATACACATTTACAGGTAACGAGCTTTGCTTTGAGTTGATCTGTGTCTGAGTTAACTTTGTACTATTTTGTAAAACCCGAATGTAAGAGGCCCTGTCATTTAGGGTTGTAATAAAACAGCATCTTACTAAAGTCCTTGGGCCTATTTAAAACTATGACACCTTAAGTTGTAGGTGTGACAGAAGCAATCTGCTAATGGCATTGGAAAGCATATGGACAACCACATTACATGCCTGTTCACCACGGATTTTTTTTCCCCTACCACAACAAAAAAAAGTGACTCCTGCCGACATGAAGGTTAACTGAGTCCTCTGGCTGCAACAAGATCCTGTTGGCTGAGAAAATCCACTGGCTAGGTACCAGAAAGATTTAAGTTGGAAGCAAAATGTAAAGCTTCACATGGCCTGGTATGAAGCCTCAGGCTTATTTACAAGTATTTGGAAGGTTTAACAGAGACAATTTGTGCCCCCTGAGAAAAGTGGAAGCTGCTTGCTCCCCTAGAGGGATCTGAACAGGGAATGCTAAGACCAGGTGAACTGATACCTAGTAATGAGACAGCCTCAATCTAATCCACCCCCACATAATCAGGTAGCCAGAGGTTCGTCCCATGATGTCCTAGAGTATCACTCTTCCCCACTGTAGACCAAGAACTACAGGTAAGCCTACTTACTGTCCTTTTTCAAGTTCCTGATTAAAAGACTCCCACATCATTATTCTGCTCTTAGTTAAGCATTCTGTCTCACTAAGGTATCAA